CCTAAAATATATGAGGAAGGAGACTATGCTAATTTGGCATCTGTGTGACCTCTTATAGGAACCTTGCCCCCACCCCTTGAGAATCTCAGCCTTGGGAACTCTTCTTGTCTTTCAAGTGGAAAACGATGCAACTAATATTTACTGAGTACTAGGCACTGTGCTGTGTTGTAGGGTGCGACAGTGAGCAGGACAGATGTTGCTCCTGCCCTCAGGGAACTTACCGTCTAGTGCGGGATCCAGGCAGTTAAATAGTTAAAATATCATGTGATAAGGGTTGGATTTTCTAAAGGATTTTAGAGAGAAACACAATCCATGTGTGTACCCAAAGGGTAGGGTACCCTCTCCTTCCAAAACCTGGTATTTTAAAGTCCAATTAGAAAGAAGCAATGTGTGTATTAGAAAGACTGCATGTAAAGGGTCAGGTGAACCAGGTTTTATTCTTTTCTTTGTCTCTACCTTCCTGATATGTCTCGCTTCAACTTTCTCATCTATAAACTGGGAATGATAATGTCTTCCCTGCTAACTCATGGGACTGTACATAAGAGAATGTATGTGAAAGTGCTATGAATCTTACTGAACAGTGTTTTCCCATGATGTAATGGGGATTGTAATTTACTGGGTCAGTCTCTAATAACTCATTCATGCACTCATTCATTCAGAAAACATTTGTTAAGCACCTGCTTGGATGAAGATCCTGTGTTAGATCCTATACTTGGCTCAGTTTCATTTTGGTCCATTAGTCCATTCAAAGTATCTAGACTTATTAGCATTAATTTTTATATTGAGTTGGAGTATGTGATAAGAGAAAATCTGCATTTCTTGTTCCCCTTTTCAGCCTAAGGGCTCTCTTTACTTCTGTAACCTTCCTGGAGGGGTGGGTGGAAGTGACCAAAAAGAGCCTAGGTGAGAAGCTGTTGGTTTAAAAATTCCTTTTGTGCTTCATGGGCTGGATTAGCAACTGGAAAGAACTAGTTTAATTATCTGATGGAATTATTGCCAAATTGTTTATAATTACTTTTAATATTCCTGTTACTCATTTTACTAGCCAGTATGTAACCATCAAACAAAGTCTTTTTACATCAAAGTAGACAGGAAAAGATTTTGTAAGTACTGTATGTGTTTTGTGTTACATATATATTTGTTATGAAAGAACTACTTTTCATTATGTATTTAGAATACTTAGAGAAGAGACTTTTCTACTGACTAAATAGAATTTACTGAAAAGCTTGAAGAGTAAAGCATGAACCCAAATTATTTCTAACTTGTGGAATTTAAATTGATGTCATTTTGGTCCCAAGACATTTTATAAATACTTGAACATTTCAGCATATGACAATATGCTATGGTTCTGCATCATTACTCATCATCAAGGTTTTTCTAGTTTCACCGCTAGTGAAAATAGTCAGCATCAATTGTCTTTCAAGAATATGCTGGTGGTGTCCTTTCATCACCCAAAGTGACAGTGTGATCCTGCTGTGTGCTTTCAAAGAGAGGTTTTTTTTTTTTTAAATAATGATCTATAATTATCATTCAATAAGACAAAAAGATACTCATAAGAATCAGGGGATGTTACCAGCAATGCCAGCCCAGCTGTTCAGAAACCGAGCCATGTTGTTTAAAGAAAAAGACTTTTAAGCACTCTTGGGAGGCTGAGGAGGGAGTATTTGCTTGAGGTCAGGAGTTCAAGACCAGCCTGAGCAAGAGCAAGACCCCATCTCTATTAAAAATAGAAAAAATTAGCCAGTCATGGTGGCACACACCTGTAATTCCAGCTATTTGGGAGACCGAAGCAAGAGGATCGCTTGAGCCCAGGAGTTTGAGGTTGCTGTGAGCTAGGCTAATGCCATGGCACTCTAGCCTGGTAACAGAGCAAGACTCTGTGTCAAAAAAATAAAGAAAAGAAAAAAAGAAAAGATTTTTAAAACAAATACTATAAAATTAAAATAGCAGAGCCTTGTTTCTTCTAGCCTCTTTTAAAAATACATAAACAATGTGAGACAAATAGATGTTCTTCCAACCCATTTTATTAAAAATAAAATGATTTTTATTTGCATGGGGGGCAACAGACTCACACTCTCCTTACCTGGAGACCTAGGATAAGAGCTGGGCCACACGTGGCCCTCGAGCACAGCACAGGTTGTGGGACCTCTTCCACCAGTGTGTTCCTCGGTGACATAGCCCGTTGCCATCATGACCTAGTATTGGCAGGTGCTGAGCGTCTCACGTTCATTTCTAGCTGGGCATAGAGTCTTTCTTCTCCTTGCTCTGAATGATATTACTATGGATTCCAACTAAATGTCTTCCCAAGTTTTAATATTGTCCCCCAAAATACAATTATTTCCCATTTCTACCGACACTCAAAAATGTGTGTTTCTGCAAAGCACAAAAAAAAAGTTAGTGTTTTTCGTGCATATATTTCCCCTCCTGTGACATCATCTCCATATTTTCAGAAGGAAAATGGAATCTTTTTGACTAAGGTACCCCCCTGACTAGTACTGAAGCGCTATTTTCTCCAGTTTTGTTTTTCCCTTTCCTTTCACCAGCTGCTGCTGCCCACAGAGTCTTCTCTGAGTGGAATAAGCTTTGTCCCCAGCAGGATAGACCAAAGGTTAAACTAAGGAGTGCGGGAGGCAGTTTTGTCCCTGCCTGGACCAGAAGAATAGCAAATCAGTGTTTACTCTGTTCAGGTGCTTCTCACCCTCCACTCTCTTTATTTGCAGTATTTCTTCCCCCTACCTGCATGCCCTCTAAGCCATGGGTGCACTCCAACTTTACAAAAGCAAGGATCTAGAACAGCCTGGGTTTTCTTTAGAGTCAGTCACTCCTTTGGTTTATGTTCCAATCTCAGAAGACTATGGATTTTTTTTTTTTTTTTTTGAGACACAGTCTCACTCTGTTGCCTAGGCTAGAGTGCCGTGGCGTCAGCCTAGCTCACAGCAACCTCAAACTCCTGGGCTCCAGCGATCCCCCTGCCTCACCCTCCCGAGTAGCTGGGACTACAGGCATGCACCACCATGCCCGGCTCATTTTTTCTATATATTTTTGGTTGTCCAATTAATTTCTTTCTATTTATAGTAGAGACGGGGTCTCGCTCTTGCTCAGGCTGGTTTTGAACTCCTGACCTTGAGCAATCCGCCCGACTCGGCCTCCCAAGAGCTAGGATTACAGGCGTGAGCCACAGCGCCCGGCCTAACTCTGGCTTTTTATTATGTTTCTTTAATTGGTCCTCAGTTCCTCATCTTGCTGAATTCCCTGCTTTTGTTTATCAAATGTTTTTAATAAGTTAAATTAAGAATTTTTTTCTTAAAAGACCCCAGCTTGCCTACAGTATTTTTTTTTTAAAGAGACAGGTTTTTGCTCTGTTACCCAGGCTGGAGTGCAGTGGCGCAAACATAGCTCATTGCAACCTTGAACTCTTGGCCTAAAGCAATCCTCTTGCCTCGGCCTTGCAAAGTGCTGAGATTACAGGCATGAGCCACTGCTCCTGGCCTACTTCTTATTGTTTTTAATAAGTTTGTCTTTAGCTACTCTTCTTCTAATTTGGCCATAGTAATAAGCATTCTAGTGCCTATAGTCTTAGCTACTCAAGAGGCTGAGGTGAGAGGATCACTTGAGTCCAAGAGTTCGAGGCTACATGAGCTACGATCCCACCACTGCACTCCAGCCTGGGTGACAGAGCAAGACCCTGACTCTAAATAAATAAATATTTAAAGATATTCACTGATACCATGTTCATGCATAATATTATAGGGATTCTATTTGGATCAAATGTAAAAGATCTTTGCTTCTGATACATTTGAAATAGAACAGTATCTGGGTCTCAGATTTTTCGTTCACATTAGTGAGAGTAAATGGGATACAGAGATACTGAGTAAACTTGATCAAGTCCATGATTTAAAAAAAAAAGCTACTATAAGATGGTTCTGCCTAGCAATTCTGTTGTTGATTTTATTCTGAGTTTAATCTATTACCAGTTTCTCTTTTTAAACCCAAAAATCTGTTTCAGAAGCATCTATTTCCAAGTAGTGCTTAATCGTGTTTGCCATTAGCTACCATTAGTGTACACTTGTTTACTCTTTCCTAAGGCACTGCATTGATGTTTACAAACAAAATATCAAATTTCTCTTCTGAATATGAAAATTATAAAATCAAGGCATGGCTTTCTCTCTCTATGAAAATTTAAACTTCCTAGTCATTTCTGAGCAAAATTCATTCTTTTTCCATCCATTAATATTTACATCATCCTATGGAAATAAATTTTAAAAATTACTTTTGAAACAAAAACAGATTTCTGTTAACCTGTAGATACTTCTGCTTTTTTTCTCCCTGTCTCATCTCTTCCTTTAAAAGAGAGACTAGTATGGATGGGACTATTTCCGTGTATTAATTTCCTTTTGCCTTTCTTATTTACTTAATCTAGAAAGCACCGTGTCAGGATGTCTTTTATAATTTCAGGAAGAATACACAGCCTATGAGATACTGAATTTTTGAAAATAATGCATAAGTATATCCAGTATATGAAAATCAGCCTGCTATTTTTATAACATCTATGGCCTTATTGTGTGCTAAATGCACTGGAAGTCAAGCATCCAGGTGTATTCTAAGAGCTGCTAAGTGGGATTTTGGCAAAAGCCCCTCTCTTATTGAATCTTCCTTGATTGAAATATTAGTTTTTATTATTAATAAAACATTATTTTCATATTAATGTCTTTGTGGAATCTAAGTATATTTTAATCATTTTAATATGCAGCAACAAATTAATAAGAGAAGATTACCATTTGCCTAAAAAAGTAACTTTGCAAAGACTATTGGTCTGAAAAGGAAGTGTAGTGGTGTATGGATTAGGTCATGTCAGGGGAGAATTCTCTCTTTTATTTTTAAAGTAAATGTAAAAACAATGCATTCTCAGGTTACCCATGGAGGCCAGAATTATATTCTCTTGATGAAACTGAGAAATCTAATTCTGTAGTGCTTAATTTCTGTGGTCTTATTCATTTTAGGTACCAAAGGAAGAAATAAAGGAGAGTTTACAAATCTTCAGGGGGTAGCTGCATCTACAAATGGAAAGATACTAATTGCAGACAGTAACAACCAATGTGTGCAGGTATAGCCCCTAACTTTATACCTTCACTTATATTGGTAAAGCAGGTATAGTTGCATATTTTCCTATTTTAGACTTCAGATACATGGTGCAAGGAAAGAAGCTTATAATAGGTATATCCTTCTCTCCAAATAGAGTTTGCTTATTCTGAAATGTAGTACATACGACAAATGTATTTGCTTATATCTTCCTCAGCAATTTCCGTGCTAGTTCATATTCCAATGAACATAATTTGTCTTATAGATATTTTCCAATGACGGCCAGTTCAAAAGTCGTTTTGGCATAAGAGGCCGCTCTCCTGGGCAGCTGCAGCGGCCCACAGGAGTAGCTGTGCATCCCAGCGGGGACATCATCATCGCAGATTATGATAACAAATGGGTCAGCATCTTCTCTTCGGATGGGAAATTTAAGGTAAGATCAACTGCTACGTGCCAGTGAATATCAGAGAGCAGCAACAGGAAACACAAGATGGACTTGTCTTTTTCTTTTTTAAAATTCAGTACAACATCCAACAGTCTTTTGTACACGAAGACATCTTAACATCTAAATTTATAAAGCAAGAGTAACAAGGATAATTTCATAAATCTACTCATATAGATCCTAAAAGTGGCTTCATTTTATAAAGCAGTTAGGTTGCTCAGTTGCCTTTTTTTTTTTAACTGTAGATTTAGAGGGAAACTTGTCCTGTTACCTCAATTCAAAGAAAAACATAATCTTTTGAAAAGGGTTATTAAGAGGCAGTTTATATTTCTCAAATTAACCTACAGGTTGTCAACTTATGAAGTGCCTGCTACTTTCTTAGGCCTGTGATGGATGTTGTAGGAGACACAGAGTTGTAAGAAGTGGTTCCCCCTTTTAAAGATGTATGGCTCCTTTTAGAAAAAAGACTAACACAGAAAAAAGACAGAAAACAATTCATGTCAGCGTCTAATCAGTCACAAATTGTTTGATGCAATCTGAAAACATTTTGTTAAAGTATGTAATAAAGGATTTGAATGAAAATGAAGGCTGAATTTACAGGGAAAATGCAAGTTAAGCTACACCTTGAGGGATCCCATCTTTTGACATATTTGCTTTCACTCCCAGCATCCTCTTTATGGAAATGTAAAAATGGTTTCTATTTCTTCAGCAAGTCACCAAAGAGTAGAGAGCCATCTAGTAATAAGAAAAATCTCTCTTATAAGGTATCATCAAAGAATTATATGATCCAGGCCATTTTCTACATTTGGTCACAAGAAGATCGTGAGAAACCTGTCAAAGATCTTTTTAAAGGCCATATGCACGATGCCTTATATATTTCGCTTGTCCAGCCTACTAGAAACTTACATTAACCCGTTGGATCCCAGCTCTATGGCTTATTCACTGTTTGGCCATCAGCAAATTATAACTTCCTGAAGCCTCAATAGCCTCATATTTAGAATTTGGACTTAAAAAAATCTATCTCATAGGATTTGAGTAATGGCTCAATGAGATTACAAAGTTCACTCATTAATCTCTTATTAGAGGAATTTATATTTTCCTTTTTCAATTATTTGTATTGCTCTAGTTACCTCGTTTTTTTAATGAAATGAGTCTATAACAGACATTCTTAGAAGAACTGGGTTCTTAAAGTGGGGATACTATTGGTGATAATTGGAATAAACTCTGAAGAACACTCATGCCCCCTAGAGGATTGGGGGAATGGATATGGTAGTTTCAGTAGTACCCTTGTTTATGATAGCTACTGATCAAAACTCAAGGTAGCCCATGAGAACACTTTAGGACTACAATGAGAGTTTATCCAAGTAGAATGTCTACAACCGTATACTGAGAGAGACTTATTTTCTTCTTTGATGAGACTTGTTAAAAATTAAACAGGTGCTGAGAAAGACATACCTTTAACACCAGTCCAATGCAGATTCTTTTTATTTATTAATATTTTTAATAGTTCCAGAAATGTAACACCTTATCTCCTTCTCTTTCTTTTATCTACCAATTTCTTAGCCCTAATTTTCATTTCTCTGTGCCCTCTAATTATTTTCTTTTCCATCTTTCCTCCTGACTTATGTCTTCCTGCCCATTTGGGAACCTTTGGTGATCAAAACAAACACAGAGGCCTCTGGCCACCATATTCTAAAATATCTCACCTCTTTCCTCTTCAATTTAAGAACCTATTTGTGGAGTTAAATACTCTGGTTTAACTGTCCCAAAACCAATGTCTAAAATATGTTTGCTTACTATTCTGTTTAAAATAGGGGACTCATAGACAGATGCAGTGATTTTTATTTTTCATTTGGTTGAATCCAGTGTAGCTCAACTAGGAGTGATCAAGGGAAAAAGAAGGAAAAGAAATTTTGGTCCAACATTTAAGTTATTCTTTTAGATCTGCCCTAGTTGTTATTACATGATAGAATGGAAGTAATCCTTTAGCTTCTGTTTTTATTTTAGATAATTATCCATTTAGTGTTTTATGATTGAGTCATTCTAAGTAACTACAAGGGTTCATAATGTTAGGTAGTAAAAATATTCTTGTTTTAATAATCAGAGTGCGGTCTCTTCCTTTTGATCTCTGTTGACATACCTTCCATTCAGACATGAAAGGACTAATGTCATTTCTTTACCCACCATTATGTTATAGCCTCTTTGATCTTTGGACTAGATTGCAGAATCAGAATCAAATTTACGCAGCAGATTCCCTTGCCAAGAAAGCCATTGTTTCCTTCTGAAGTAACTGTGTCTTTTTGCTGTAAAGAGATCAAATCTGAATCTCAGTCATTTATAAACTTAAAAGAATAAAGTTTCATACAAAGTCTAAATCCCCACCATGAGAAAAATCTCATCTCTCTAACTAGAAAATTTAAAAAATTGAAAAACACATATGTGGTTCACATTATATTTCTATTAGCACTAATATATAGAGATAAAATAAGAAGGCTAAAACAGAACCTATGAAAATGTAACTGTTTGGGGTTTAATTTTTAATTTCAGAAATATGGCTGGGCTCAGTGGTGGCACACACCTGTAATCCCAGTTCATTAGAAGGCTAAGGTGTGAGGATCGCTTGAGGCAAGGAGTTCAAGGCCAGTCTAGGCAACATAAAGAAACCTAGTCTCTACAAAAAATAAGAAAAATTAACCGGATGTTTTGGTGTTATAGTCCTAGCAATTTAAGAGGCTGAGGCAGGAGGATCACTTGAGTCCAGGAGTTCAAGGGCACTGTGAACTATGATGACACCACGGCACCCAAGCCTGGGTGACAGAGTGAGAACCTGTCTCTAAAAAAAAAATTAAAATATAAAATGTAATACAAATAGATTTTTAACATAAGCCTACAAACAAGTATAAAATGAAAAATAAGGCTTTCTCCTGTCACCACCAATGCCACTCTCTAAGATACAGGCACTGTTTAGTTTCTCACTTTTCCTTCTAGACGCCTATATACATATATGCACACATTTAACACACACTGACTCAGGCTATACTCACTGTTCTGTACCTTGCTTTGTTCAGTAATATATTTGAGAGAGACCTTCCATAAAAACACACACAGATATGCTCCCCACTGGCACTTTAAGCCTGGGCACCAGGGAGGACTGTGGCTCTTACAGTTGACCTGATTAACATGCATTCCTTCCTGCTGGTTCCTTGCCTCGGGTGCTCCTTCTTCCTTGTCCCTGGTGACTTGTCTCATCAAAGTATTTTTCCACGTGCCTTCTGAGATGGCCTATTTGAATTCCCCTGAATCTACTGCACTGAAGACTCAGTACCAGGCACTTTATTTTTTAATTTTTGTTTTATTGAGTCAAGGTCTTGCTTTGTTGCCCAGGCTGGTCTTAAACTCCTGGGCTCAAGCAATCCTCCTACCTCAGCCTCCCAAGTCCTGGGATTGTTGGCGCATGCCACCACACCTGGCTGCGCACTTTAAAAGGGTACAGTAGACATGTTTGTCTCTGCAGTGGGACTGAGACATCTTTGAGGGCAGGAGCTATATCTAATTTGTGTTTGTTTGCCTTGTGCCTAGAACACAATGCCAGGCACATAGTGAATACTCAGTGTTTGTAGAATTAGTACACAGGTGAATGAGTGAAGTACGTTATAAGTATTCTAGAAAATGAAGTTATAGAACTAAAAGTAAAGATGTAAGACCTGCATCTAATGGTCAATAGGCATTTATATGTTCACTATAGTCTACTCAGGAACATGAATAAAATTTAAAATGCTTAGGGTATATGGTTGATAAAAATCTAATGCTTTAATCACATTTTAAAATACTGTGAAAGTGGAATCATTCAATCATCATGCTTGCCCTATAATAATGCTAGACTTTTAATATATTCAACAAATATTTGTTGAATATGTATTATGCACCAGGAAATGTGTTGGCTCCAAGTACACAGTGATGGATAAAACAGACTCCCACCCATGCAGAACTTAATTCTATTAAAGTTCAATGGCAGATGCCTGGCAATTTTAATATCAATTATGTTATAAAACAATGACAATGATGGCTTCCTTTGGTGACTTCTTGCTTTGTGCTATACTCTACACTAAGCCCTTTATCTGCATTATTTTGCTTAACACATATTCTAAAAATACCATTGGAAGTTACTAGTGGTTTTTTTTTTCACATTTTTTAATATATAAGGAACTTGAAATTTAAGGAACCTAAATCGGTTTGTGCAATCTCAGGGTGTGTTTAAAGCAAGCGTCCTAATCCAGTGGTCTTTCACTATACCACATTGCCTCCTTAAGAGGGACTGTGACCCCAGTTTAGGGGGATATAGAACATTTTTGATCCCTTTTAAAAAAATAAGGATCTCATATAGATATCAGTAGCAGATAACGCACATGACAAAGCCAATTTCCCAAGACAGAAGATCATTGTGATCTATGAGTATTTGTGCTCTCCTCTTTGGACAGTCAGGTAAATGTTTACCAAAACAGTGTTTATCTTCATGATTAAACTTCAATATCTGTACTTGATTTCTGTCCTTGTTTCTAACAGACAAAAATTGGATCAGGAAAGCTGATGGGGCCCAAAGGAGTTTCCGTGGACCGCAATGGGCACATCATTGTGGTGGATAACAAGGCGTGCTGCGTGTTTATCTTCCAGCCAAACGGGAAAATAGTCACCAGGTTTGGTAGCCGAGGAAATGGGGACAGGCAGTTTGCAGGTACACTCGATGGTAATATGTAAACCCCCTTTTTTATGCTTCTTCTGCTCACATATGCATGATGTTGGAGCATGTTGAAGACACCGCATCCCCAGTGTGTTTGCTGGCTTTGGGAAAGATGCTGGGAATGAGATCTAAGCAAAAGCATGGTTAGATGCTTCTCGGTTACCCCACTGGCAGTAAGTCGAAATGCAAACCACGTGTGGTTTTTATTGGTGGATGTTTACAACTCAGAAATCTTTATATATTCATATTAAATAAAATATACATTTTTAAAAATATTTTTGAAATAAAAATATTCAAGGAACAATGAAGTAACTGCATTGTTTCCACCTACCTGTAGCTTTATTTGAAGAGCCTCTGAATGGGAATTTTTTTCACCTTCCTAGCTTATTATAAGAAAACAGGAGTTCAGAATATTCGCTAAGTACAGGGAGGACAGTCTGTTTTACTGCTCTTTTTGATGTAGGACTTTGCAATCGCAAGCTTACTTAGCTTTTTGTATCTGCAAGAAAAGGCTGTAAACAGTTTATTAATTTCCTTTTTAAAGGGATGCTTTGGGCATTTAACATTAATTTGCATAATCTTTCTTTGTGCTTTGTCTCCAGTTCTGCCAGGTTCTGAATGTCACCCACAATTATAAACTGTGGGTTTTCTGCTCAATTTTTTTATTTTAAAAATTATGTGTTGGAGTCTCTCTTCCAATGCTAAGAGTTACCATGTCTTTCCTCAGTGGGAGCCAAGGGCCCTAAAACACATAATCAGGGAAGCTGGCAGGTGTGGCTTTTAGATGGCCGTATGGAGCATGAATTCTGATGCTTACTGCTCATCCCACTTCATTAGGGCTGCTAGAACTCTTAGCTAGATCTGGAAGAAGTCAGAGTAGACAGTCACAAGTGCAGAATAATGTAGGATCCATGTTATCTGGAGCCAGAGGTCTGGCTGAATGATTTTTCAAGGACCAAGTCAATAAATCTTTGTTCTTTCTTAAATAACTAAGTAAATATATTGTTTGGTTTTTGTTACGGTAACTGCTATGTTGTTGTAATCACTTTTGTTGTAGTCATCACATATTTTTTCCATCTTTATTGCAGGTCCCCATTTTGCAGCTGTAAATAGCAATAATGAGATTATTGTTACAGATTTCCATAATCATTCCGTCAAGGTACTATAAGCACATCAGTTAACTTTTAAATGCTTTTGTGGAGAAGTCAGTATGGGAGAAAATAATGTAATACTTACGTATACACACAGGACCACAGGGAGTTAACCTAAAGGAGTAGATTTTGCTTCTACTTAAAGGAGACAGGTTTTAATTTGGATATACAGACTTTGGTGAGTCAGGAAACTGTACAAAATATAGTAACAATATGTTTCTTAATTTGAAACCAGTGCAAATGAAGAGGACTTGAAAATAAAATGTAAAAAAACAATTGCTTGAACGTAGAGGTAGAACTTTGTGAGGCTTAATATTTTGTGGCTATTTAATAGATTAAAACAAAATTGTTTTTTAAATTTTCTGAATCATAAGGTCTTTAAACAAAATTAGATATTAGAATTCTGATGCAACAACAAACTAGGGGAGTGGGAATAACCCCCTAGCATACACTCACATAGTATATTTTATACTTAGAATGTTTTCATACACTTGGTGTTATTTAGGAAACAATGACCTCTTCTAATAATATAGTACATCCTTCTTACTTGGTACCAAGGGACAAAGATTTGAACTTTATTATTAGAAAATCAGGAAATAATAAAGTGGCTCAAAACAAATTACTCATTTGCTGAAATGATGAGAAAATTAGTAATATTCTAGAGCAAGCTTCTGAAGGTGTGATGCGTGTTCCACTGGGGGTATGCCAGGTAGTCAGTCACGGGCAGCCCAGGCAGACATTTTAAGAGTTATGTGTTTACTTTTAGAGTTATCTTCTGTTTACATCAAGCGATACTGTTGTGCACTTATAGAAGTGATAATAAAGTTTTCCTTATAAATATGTTGATTTAAATTTTTTAAAGTGAATCATTTTAAAGAAAAAATAATAAGGAAACAGCATAGGACTGTATGCCAATGACTAAAGCTTGCACTTAGAGACAACCATTGAACAATCAAAGTTAATAAAGACTTATCTGTGCTGACAACTGGAATAGCTAGGTAAAGGGTAGGATTTTTAAGCCCCACAGGTACTCTCTCTTCCAAGACTTTTCACTGCTTCATCTCCCTAGCTCATCCTGGAAGGTATCTCTAACCTGATTAAATGGAGAGACCTTGAGCCTTTTCGATGGGTGCCAAGTCCCTGTGTGAAGAGTAGAGCACAGGGGAACACAGGAATGAGGGCAGGAAAAGGTGCCCACTCTTGCTTTTTTCTGAAGCTGCTTCCTGCACTCTTGTCTGTCCAGAGTTGCTAGCACAGTGGTGGAGTACCCCCTACGCCCAATGTGATGGGCTGCATTCTCTGAGGACACCACTCTCTATGGGAGGTGTCTTGGTAAAAGGAATGGGACAGTGGGAAAGATTCCCGATGGGCAGGAGAGGATGTAAATAAAGAGCAAAGAGACAGCAGGAACTGAGCTTGGGACCATCCTCCCAGGGAGCTATCGCTGTAGAATGAGCACAGCTATGAAAAGATAACACAAGCTGTTCTCATATTTCCTACCCTCACTCACTCTGTAGAGGAATCATTCATTTCACTCCAGGGCATTCAACAAGAAGAAAACCCATATAGATTCAAACAGTGGAAATGCCTGGCATAGGTTCTGCTCAACCACCACCACAAGACAGTAATAATTAATCGAGTTGCTTTTGTCTACTAAGCACACTGTGGCCTCAGAACCCTTCCTGTCCAGTGTGCCAGGCAACCTCTAAGAATCAACTGGCATGGGTATGTGGGACCGCTATTTACCTGCCCTGGCTGACACGGCATAGAGAATTAAAACATATATGTCAATAACCAAAATGCAAGGCACATAGCAAAAAATGGTTCCATAAAAGTAGGTACATATGAAGTTCTATAAGTTTCCAAAAGAAAAGAGAAGATTTCTATACTTAAAACTATCAGGAAAAACTTCCAAGTGGTATTTGATATGAGCAGAATTTTGAAATCAAAAAAGGATTATCATCAAAGTTATTTTAAAAACTTACTTGAAATACTATAAAAACCAAAGCTGTAAAAAACTATTTCAGTTCATACTTCTGCCTCTTAGTATGTTTTCATATGAATAGATTTCAAGTAATTAAATGACATTTTAGGTGAGAAATGTATAATTCTTAAGATTCTGAAGACTCAAGTTTTCAGTACAGTAGAAACAGATTATTTAAGGTCAATTTTCCTCTTATTTAAAAAAAAAGTTGCCTTTTTTTGTTTTTCCTCTTCTTTTTGATAGCTATTGCCATATAACTTTTATGGAATACTTGGGCTTTTGTTTCCCATGTAATACTGGATAGTTAGCAATAATTCCAAATTCAGGTCATTTGTCTGTTGGTACATGTAAAAAACATACCAGCAGGTCAGTGCTAACAAGTGGTTTCGTTAGTTTTTTAAGCTATCTGCAGAAAATAGTTTCTTTTCATGGAAAAACAAGACTAGATTTGGCATTCTCCTTTATTCCAAAATGAAGTAGGAGCACTTAAACCATTTGTATGATGCCAATGAAAACATACTGACCCAGAACGATAAATACAAGCAAAAGATTATCTGTAGGAACTAATAACAAAAAGATCAGAGAATAATAAATTGTGTCCTCAGCAGCATAAACACACTTCCATCGGTGTTTAAAACTGGAATGTTTTATCAACAAGAGGACAGAATGAGTCAGAGAGAATAATGTTAAAACATGGCATCTTAGTAAAAGCTGGCAGTTCTTGTCTCTGTCCTCTCTAAAGAACCACAGAGGTAGCTGGCTTGCTTGGCAAGTGTGCAATTAATTCAGAAGGTGGTCATGACTCTTTTGTCTCTTCTTCATCTCAGAGTATATTTACCCTTTAGAGATGGAAGTTTCCTTCTTTCCCAATGTCCTTAGCTAAAAGAAATAGTCATTTTTATCTTTCATGATCAGAGATGGCAATAGGAGAATCAATCTCTGAAAGGTCCTGAGATCCGTCCTCAAATTAGACCTATGCTCAAATATAGTGAGAACTCTTTCAGTTGCACAGCTGAGGAGCCCTTACTCTCCAGGGGCCTTGCACATAATACTTTTTGATTTGTTAATGACTATTTCTATGTATCTAGGCATTATGATAATGGAAGTTTAAAACGATGTCCTGGAAACATTAGGTATCATCTGAATCATCAAAATAAAATTACGCTTACTGTAGTGCTGTCATTATGCACATTAAAATTTAATTTTCTCAATCAGTAATCTGTATTTGATATATATGTAGTAATGCTCTACTAACAAGAATATGTAATTAACCACAGCACCCCACTGCTTGACCATATCAAGAAGAGAATTTGCATAGGAGTTCTGTTTAGCCCTTCACCTCTAATAGCTTCCCTTCTCTCGGTGAGCTCTATCCAGCAAAGCCTTAGGATCATATAAACTCTCTATTTCAGTTAAAATATCTTCTGAGAATAATTTAAAAAGCCCTTTTCTTATTTGTCACCTGCTGCCACAACACATGTGCACGCACACACGCAATGAATTTCTCCTTCGTAAGCATGAAGTCCGGCCTACTCTTCCTTGTGATACTGACGCAGTAAAATAGTAATAAACGTGAGCCTTGGGCCTAGCAAAAAGCTCCCACTTTCTGATCCAACTTTGAATGATCATCCATCCTGTTACAATTATAAATGTAATGCCCATCCTTGAAATTTAGCTATTTATTTAAAGGCAGAAAGAATACTATTGTTAAAAATGATAGCTCCATTTACTCATACTGCCTTATATTTTAGTTTTTTATAATTTATATTAATAGTAAAAGAAGTCTCTTTCACATAAGCATTTAATAACCAGATATGGGCCAGAAAAAGAGAAGTGGTGATTTAGCAAATGATAAATCAGATGAAAAGGCACAAATGATAAGCTGTCTAGTTTGTAGTTTTTTTTTTCTTTTTTAAGATTGACTTCAATCACAGGTCTTGTTATAAATAACCTGCTCAAGTAGATATTTTAAAAATCCATAATATTGATTCAACTATTTTAATTTAAAATAAAATAATTTTAAAATATTTCTTATAGGTGTTTAATCAGGAAGGAGAATTCATGTTGAAGTTTGGCTCAAATGGAGAAGGAAATGGACAGTTTAACGCGCCAACGGGTGTGGCCGTGGATTCGAACGGAAACATCATTGTAGCAGACTGGGGGAACAGCAGGATCCAGGTAGAGTGAATGCTAATGTCCACAGTTAGAGTGTATGGTGCTTGTTAAAACGAAAGAACTGGCTGTCCCCCAACCAGAATGCTTTCCATTCTCCATTGGTTAGAGCATAAGACCATAGATGATCTCATCAGAAGGACCGAACTAAGTAAGATAGAGTAGAAAAAAGACAATATATTACCAGAGTAAGACACTGGAGATAGAGTAGAAAAAAGACAACATATTACCAGAGTGAAACACTGTAATTCAGGGGGTTATAACACAGAACCCACAGACCCCCAAAGGGTTTGAGGATAGAATTCAAGAGGGCTAGTGAATGAAAATATCACTTTATTATTTTTATTAGCCTCTAGCAGAACATTATTATTTCCTTTAATTTTGAATATATGAATAAGCACAGTAGTTTTAGTAATATCTATGACTTTGTAACCAAGAACAATCACAGAATATTAGTTGTAGCAGACATCTCAAAGTATTAATTCTCATCACTACTTCAAAATTACAGTAATAATTAAACCCTATTTCTTGTTTTATGTACTAATTTTTAAAAGTACCCATAATACTATATCATAATTTAGTAATATTTTAATAACTTTTTTTTGTTTGAGACAGGTTCTTGCTCTGCTGCCCAAGCTAGAGTTCAGTGGCATCATCATAGCTCACTGCAACTTCAAACTTCTGGGCTCAAGCGATCCTCGTGCCTCAGCCTTGCCAGTAGCTGGGTCCATAGGCAAGCACCACCATGCCCAGCTAATTTCCTATCTTTTGTAGAGACAGGGTCTCAGTGTGTTGCTCAGACTGGTCTCAAACTCCTGGACTCCCCAAGTACTAGGATTACAGGTGTGAGCCACAGCACCTGGCCAATAACTATATTTTAATATGGTTGTTTTTTCTTTATAATTCCATATACTTTGTTTTATGCATTTAAAAATATTATTATGCTAAATAAGAGGAAGTCTCAAGGAAAATTTTAAAATGTATTGGACTGAATGAAACTGCAAATACTACATATCAAAATTTGTGGAATTTAGTAAAAACGTGCTGAGAGAGAAATCAATAGCACTAAATGCTTATATTAGAAAAGAAGGAAGGTCTTAAATCAGTAATCTAAGTTCCCATCTCAAGAAGCTAGAAAGAGAAAAGCAAATGAAACCCAAAGCAAGGTGAAGGAAATAGTGAAGACAGAATCAGAAATGACAGTGACAATCAAAACAGAAAAACAGGCCGGGCGCGGTGGCTCACGCCTGTAATCCTAGCTCTCTGGGAGGCTGAGGTGGGTGGATTGCTCGAGGTCAGGAGTTCAAAACCAGCCTGAGCAAGAGCGAGACCTCATCTCTACTATAAATAGAAAGAAATTAATTGGCCAAATAATATATATAGAAAAAATTAGCCGGGCATGGTGGCGCATGCCTGTGGTCCCAGCCACTCAGGAGGCTGAGGCAAGAGGATCGCTTGAGTCCAGGAGTTTGAGGTTGCTGTGAGCTAGGCTGATGCCATGGCACTCACTCTAGCTTGGGCAACAAAGTGAGACTCTGTCTTAAAAAAAAAAACAAAAAACAGAAAAACAATAGAGAAAATGGGCCAGGTGCAGTAACTCTAGCTGGGGTGAAAGAGGGAGACTATCTCAAAAAAAAATAAATAAAAGAAAGAAAAGAAAAAGAAAAACGTTACAGAAAAATCAATGAAACAGCAAGTTGGTTCTTTGAAAAGATAAAAAAAATTAACAAACCTATACCAAAAGTGACAAAAGACACAAAATACTGATATCACTACATACCCTGCAGACAAAAAAAAGATAATAAGGGAATTCGGTGAACCACTCTACATACATACATTTGACAACTTAGATGAAATAGATAATTCCTCAAAAAATTACCTACTTTTCAGTTTTTGGCTCTGAGGAGTCCGAAATGCACCTTTCTTCAGTCATACCAAATCCGAGTTCATTGGACACCAGCCGTGTCCACCATACCACCTGACCCCAGCAAAATCAAAGCTGTGTACCTGAGAGGCACCGATGGCAAAGTCTGCCCTGGCCCCCAAGATCAGCCCCCTGGGTCTCTCTCCAAAAACGTTTGGTGATGACATCGCCAAGACAACCAGTGACTGGAAGGGTCTGAGGATTATAGTCACACTGACCATTCATAACAAACAGGCCCAGATTGAGGTGGTACCTTCTGCCTCTGTCCTGATCATCAAAGCCCTCAAGAAACCACCAGTAGACAGACAGAAACAGAAAAGCATTAAACACAGTAGAAATACCACTTCTGATGAGATATTCATCATTGCGTGACAGATGGGGCACCTGTCTTTAGACAAAGAACTCTCTGGAACCATTTGAGAGATCCTGGGGACTTCCTAGTCTGTGGGCTGCAGTGTTGATGGCCACCACCCTTATGACATCACAGATGACATCAACAGTGGTGCAAGGGAATACCAAAAAAAAAAAAAAAAAGAAGGGACAAACTCTATGACTCATCCAATATGAAATAATTTGAATAGCCCTACTATTGTTAAGGAAATTATTCAGTTTTAAAACTTCAAAAAGAAATGTCTAGACTCATATGATTTCACCAGAGAATTCTACCAGATGTTTAAAGAAAAATTAGTACCAATTCTACACGGTTTCTTACAGAAAATAGAAGACAAGAGAATACTTCCCAACTCACTTTTTAATCAACTGCTGGAAGCCCTGATAACCAAAACCAGATAGTAAGATAGTACAAAAGAGAAGTACTTTTTTGTACTTAAGATAGTACAAAAGAGAAAACTACAAACCAACATTCCTTTTAAATGTATGTGTAAAAATTCTCAACAAAATACTATTAGCAAATAGAATTCAGCATTGCATAAAAATTCCTCCATGACCAAGTACAGTTTACTCCAGGAATACAAACCTGGTTCGGTATTTGAACATCGGTCAGTGTAATCCACCATACTGAAAATTTTTTTTTTTTTTTTTTTAGACAGAGTCTCACTTTGTTGCCTAGGCTAGAGTGAGTGCCGTGGCGTCAGCCTAGCTCAAAGCAACCTCAAACTCCTGGCTCAAGCAATCCTTCTGCCTCAGCCTCCCAAGTAGCTGGGACTACAGGCATGCACCACCATGCCCGGCTAATTTTTCTATATAATAGTTGGCCAATTAATTTCTTTCTATTTATAGTAGAGACGGAGTCTCACTCTTGCTCAGGCTGGTTTCGAACTCCTGACCTCGAGCAATCCGCCCGCCTCGGCCTCCCAGAGAGCTAGGATTACAGGCGTGAGCCACCGCGCCCGGCCTCATACTGAAAATTTAAAGAGGAAAAACTGTCTGATTATATCAACTGATGCAGAAGAATGAATCATTTGACAAAATTCAATACCCATTCATAAAACGCAGAAAACTAGGCATAGAGAGAAACATTCTCAACTTGATAAAGAAGATCTATGAAAAAACCATAGCAGCACCATATTTAAAGACTGAACATTTTCCTGTAAGATCAGAGCAAGGCAAGGATGTCTGCTCTCACCATTCTTATTCCATATAGTACTGGAAATTCTAGGCAGCATAAAAGGAAGAAAGGAAATAAAAAGCTTACAAACTAGAAAAGAAGAAATGAAAAACTGACCTCATTTGCAGATAACATGATTGTTTACATAGAAAATCCCAAAGAATCTACAAAAAAGTTCCCAGAACTAATAGGTGAGTTCAGTAAGATGATAGAATACAAGATGTTGATCAGTTGTATTTTTATATGCCAGCAATGAGCACATGAAAACCAAAGTTTAAAATGCCATACCATTTATAACTGCTGAAAAAAATAAAATAGATATAATAACAAAGCATGCCCAGTATTTGTAGGCTGAAAACAAATGCTAGTAAAAGAAATCAAAGCTCTAATCAATGAAGACACAACTGTATCCATGGAATGCAAGACTCAAAAAAGATGTCAGTTTTCTCCAAATTGACATACAAGTTTAAGAAAAACAATCTCAGCAGGATTTTTTGTAGATATAGACAAAATTATTTTAAAATTCATATGGCAAGGCAAAGGGACTAGAATAGCTAAAACAACTTGGAAAAAGAAGGATAAAGTGAGAGGAATCACTCTACCTGATTTCATGACTTATTATATTGCTACCATAATCAAGACTGTGTAATATTGATGGGAGGATAGTTATATACATAACTGGAACAGAATAGAGAGTCCAGAGATAGCTTCCACAGTTGTATGGCCAACTGGGTTTTAACACAAACTCAAAAGCAATTCAACAGAAGAATGATGATCTTTTCAACAAATGGAACTAGAGCAACGAAAATAACCACAGAGGGAAAAAAGTTGACTTAGGCTGGGGCTTGGTAGCTCACACCTGTAATCCCAGCACTTTAGGAGGCTAAAACAGGAGAATCACTTGAGGCTAGGAGTTCAGGACCAGCCTGAGTAACAGAGAAATCCCATCTCTACAAAAAATAAGAAAAATTAGCCAGGTATGATGGCGCACTCCAGTAGCCCTAGCTACTCAGAAGGCTGAAGCAGGAAGATTACTTGAGCCCTGGAGTTTGCAGTTACAGTGAGCTATGATGATACCACAGCATCAAGTTGACTTACAACAAAAGGTTGACTCAGGCGGGGCATGGTGGCTCACACCTGTAATCCTAGCACTCTGGGAGGCTGAGGCGGCAGATCACTCAAGGTCAGTAGTTAGAAATCAGCCTGAGTAAGAGCAAGACCCCATCTCTACTAAAAATAGAAAGAAATTAATTGGCCAACTAAAAATATATAGGAAAAAAAAATTAGCCGGGCATGGTGGTGCATGTCTGTAGTCCCAGCTACTCAGGAGGCTGAGGCAGAAGGATTGCTTGAGCTCAGGAGTTTGCGGTTGCTGTGAGCTAGGCTGACGTCACGGCACTCTAGCCCAGGCAAGAGAGTGAGACTCTGTCTAAAAAGAAACAAAAAACAAAAGTTGACTCAAATTGGATCATAGATTTAAATATAGAAGCTATATACCTTTTAGAAAACAATGTTTCAGAGGATAAACTTGTAGAAGATTTTGAGAGAAAATCTTTGGGACCTAGGACTTGATAAAGAGTTTTTAGACATGATACCTACAATCATTAAAGAAAAAAAAATCAATAAATTGGATTTGATCAAAATTAAAAACCTTTGCTCTGTGAAAGATCCCATTAAGAGTATAAAAAGATAAGTAATGAACTGGGAGAAAATATTTACAAACCACATCTGACAAAGGACTTAAACCTAGAATATGTACAGATTCTCAGAATTCAACAACAATATAACCAATCAATCCAATTAGAAAATGGGCAAAAGACACAAAGAGAAATTTACTGAAGAGCCTACATACATGAAAAGATGTTCATTATCACTGGATATGAACTCAGGGGAGTGCAAATTTTCTCATTTGACCATGATGAGATATCACTGCATGTTTGTTAGAATAGCTAAAATTAAAAGTACTGAAAGGCCGGGCACAGTGGCTCACGCCTGTAATCCTAGCACTCTGGTAGGCCGATGTGGGTGGATCGCTTGAGGTCAGGAGTTCAAAACCAGCCTGAGCAAGAGTGAGACCCCGTCTCTACTATAAATAGAAAGAAATTAATTGGCCAATTAATATATATAGAAAAACTTAGCTGGGCATGGTGGTGCATGCCTGTAGTCCCAGCTACTCGGGATGCTGAGGCAGCAGGATTGCTTGAGCCCAGGAGTTTGAGGTTCTGTGAGCTAGGCTGACGCCACGGCACTCACTCTAGCCTGGGCAACAAAAGCGAGACTCTGTCTCAAAAAAAAAAAAGTACTGAAAGTGCCAAATACCAGTGAACATGTGGAGAAAATAGATCTCTCATACATTATTGGTGGGAATGTAAAATAGCACAGTCAGCCTTGAAACTCGTTTGGCAGTTTCTTAAAAAACTAAACATATACTACCATACAACCCAGTAATTGCACTCCTGGGTGTTTATCCCAGAGAAATGAAAACTATATCAAAGGTCTGATATGCCACAGAAGTCAGAAGCCAGGCAAGGAACTAAGTTCACAAAGCAGTTCTTTACCGGACCACAGATGTTAAGCTGTCTGCATTGTGGCCCTGATGGCACCTACCTAGTTACACTTGCCTTTTAAAGCACCAAGTAAGCCAAACAAAATGACCAAAAGAAACCAGCCTGGGCCTTATGAAGAAATGTATGGATTCTGGATTTATTACTGTATGGGCCTGGATTTATTACTTTTATTTCATCATAGCAAAAGCTGACAGACCAAAAGAAGATGATTTCATGTCCAAATGTACACTTGGCCCTCTGCATCCAGTGATTCAACCAACTGAGGATTGAAAGTATTCTGAAAAATAAAACCAATAAAATTAGTGCAACAATAAAAAACACAAATTTTTAAAAAATACAATGCAACTATTTACATAGCATTTACATTGTTTAGACATTATGAGTAATCTAGAGATGATTTAAAGTATGCAGGAGGATGTTCATAGGTATATGCAAGTACTACACGAGAGACTTGAGCATTTGTGGATTTTTGTATCCTTGGGGGTCCTGGGACCAACCCCCAGGATATCAAGAAATGACTGTACACTCTGGGAGGCCGAGATGGGCGGATCACTTGAGGTCAGGAGTTCAAAACTAGCCTGAGCAAGACCCCATCTCTACCAAAAATAGAAAGAAATTAATCGACTGACTAAAAATACATATACAAAAAATTAGCCGGGCTTGGTGACACATGCCTGTAGTCCCAGCTGCTCGGGAGGCTGAGGCAGGAGGATTGCTTGAGCCCAGGAGATTGAGGTTGCTGTGAGCTAGGCTGACACCATGGCACTCACTCTCACCTGGGCAACAACGTGAGACTCTGTCTCAAAAAAAAAAGAAAAAGAAATGACTGTACCTGTTGAACCATTGACTTCTTGAAAGTTACTCTTTTCTGATAAGGGGGGGGGATCTCTTATTGCATATTATGACTCAGGGCCATTCTTCCTTGGTCTAGTTGCTGATTTTTCTCCCTTATGATTAGGGATGAAAGAGAGACTTGAAGCTGGATTGGAAAAAAATAAAGGCTTAGCATGAAAAGCAAGGGTCATGCATTTTTCAAGCACCATCCAGGGCCATTCCTAGCCAAGTATTTGTTATGACCACAGTAGTAATGGAGACCTATCTGATAGCCAATGGTTTATTCTACTCCAGCGAGTGAGCATTCAGAGGGAGAGAACAAAAAGCAAGATAAGTAGAAAGAAGGACTGTAGATATGATAGTGACCTAAACAAACCTAGGGGGTTGCTTCCATGCTTTTTTCTTAAAATCATTAACATGAAGTGTTTTCTAACTCATATTTCAACATAGTACTATGATTTCTCCTATAACATTCTGACTTCATATTTTTTCAGGTTTTTGATGGGAGTGGATCATTTTTGTCCTACATTAACACATCTGCTGACCCACTCTATGGACCCCAAGGCTTGGCCCTAACTTCAGATGGCCATGTTGTGGTTGCAGACTCTGGAAATCACTGTTTCAAGGTCTATCGATACTTACAGTAATGATGGGCAGTCATGATGGACAACCCTTACCAAGGTCTTGCACTATAAACTGGAATGGATTTCTCAACGCGGGACCAGATTATGACTAGACTTTTTATGCTCGAAGGAATCATTGGTGAACTTCCCAAGGTTATTTCTGAATGTAACAGATTCCTTAAAAACTGCTTATATAATTTCCATAGTTCACCTACAGGGTTTGAAAAACAAACCCCTTCTACTGAATCTATACAAACTGCAAAGTTTTACATCTGTGAACTATGGCTTAAAGGACAGGATTTATGTAGTGAAACTAATTTTGCAAATCAAACAAATGTTAAAAAAAAAAACCTAGAATATGTAAAGGTATTTGTTAATCTTGTGAATGGTAGCTTTTGCAGAGAGCTTCCAAAAACAGAACAAAAACAAAATCTGTTATAGTTATATACTTTATTTAACCTAGGTCGCAAGACCCCGGGAATCTTCTAACCTCACTTTTACAGTAGGTATAACTCTTGTGACATTTTTTTGGTTATCAATAACTACATATAAATTACTTTAGAAAAAATAAGGCTGTCTTGCAAAATCCTCCCAGCTCTGATTAGCCTCTTGAGGTTAGCACTTAAGAATCAATGCAAATTTCCCAACTTTTCTGGGTTAGACAAAGATCTGTTTTCATGTGTTCTTTTCACCACCTCTTTCCTGCGAACCTAGTGTTGGAAAACAAAATACATCTTCAGGGAAACCTGGATTCCCTAGTGCTTTGAAAAGCATATTACAAAAGTAATGCTACCTTTTGGTAAACAAACTGCCCCCATTAACTCCAGATTAATGCACTGGAATGTAATCAAGAAAAAGTCACATTTTATGTGCCATGTTTTCACACGTGTCTCTCCTCTTCCACTTCATGAAAGCGAAAGCTTTATCTCCTACAAAATGTCAGCACATGTAGTAGGACACCAGTATCCTAGGACAGAGAGCCATAAGTAGCCCTTTGGAGGACTGATGGTGTCAACCAAAGGCATGTGATTGATTAATGATTTCCCCTTAGAAAGCAGGTGTTACCAAAGTTGTGTTATCTTGAAAGCATTACAGGTAAGGGCATGTTATGGTTATTTATCATTGTTTAATGAATAGTAGAGGTGTTAAGGGACTATGTATACATGATTAGGGTAAGATAGAATGTATTTTATATATATATATATAGATGAATCTTTGGTGTATTGAAATAGGCAGCACTCTGAAAGACAGAAGCATTGTCCAGCCATTCTTCAGCACATTCCTTTACTACATAGTTTAAAGCCGTCCTAATGGAGCAAGCCCTAAAGCAGATTTAATTTTTGCCATTTTCCAGGAATGATGGCTGACTTTTGGTCAAAAAATGACCTTCTGTGCTTTCAAAAAAAAAAAAAGAGAAAAAAAAAGATCAAAAGAAAAATTGGATTTTTTTTTGTCTTTTTGGAGACAGGGTCTTAATCTTTTGCCAGGGCTAGAGTGCAGTGGCATCATCATAGCTCACTGCAACCTCAAACCCCTGGGCTCAAGTGATCCTCCTGCCTCAGCTTCCTCAGTAGCTGGGACTACAGGTGTGCACCACCATGCCTGGCTAATTTTTCTATTTTTTGTAGAAATGGGGTCTTGCTATTGCCCAGGCTGGTCTTGAACTCCTGGCCTCAAGTGAGATCCTCTCACCTCGGCCTCCCAAAGCACGAGGATCACAGGCATGAGCCACCGTACCTGGCCACAAAGTTGAATTTAAGTGACATTTAATTTAAACTAAATATATAACTGCATTTTGAGAAACGTTAAGAACAATTTGTTAATCTGTCATTGGTACTGTAAATTAAGATGTGGTCTATTTCCACTGTTTAATTTTCTGCTCAGTTCTACCAAATAGAATGTCATGTTTGACATTTTCAATAATGACTTTGGGATCTTTTTCACTGAAAGCACCTTAGAACTGTACTATATGAAAACATTTCCCATATGTATAATTATATGAATGTGATGTTTATTGCTTATTAATTTATAATTCATTCATTCTCTATATAGGACTTATAAAATTTAGAAGGGAAATCTAGCTACTTCCAATTATCTATTAAATTTATGACACCTAAATCAAACTCTGAAAAAAAGTTTTTTCAGGAAGATTTACATTTAGGTTTAGTATTTTTTTTTTCTAGTTAGAGTTTTTAAAATTATTTGAGCCTGCCTGTGATAAAGTTATAAAATTCAATAACACTTTTAGAATGTTAAACTAAGACAGTGCTTCCTAATGTCAGTGAAGTAAGTCTTTGAATTTAACCATTCGTATTTACTGAGTACCTACTAGGTGCCAGACACTCCTGGAGTCACTGGGAATGTAGTGATGGATAAAACAGATAAAAATCCCTGCCCCCATGGAGCGTACATTCTGGGGAGGGAATTTTATTTTGCTCTTTACTAACATTCTGCATAAAAGATAAGCTAGGCTCTTGATAGTTCCTAGATAGTTTAAAAGAAAACATTTTTTTTTTTTTTTTTTGAGACAGGGTCTCACTCTGTTGCCTGGGCTAGAGTGCTGTGGCATCATTGAAGCTCACTGCAACCTCAGACTCCTGGGCTCAAGCGATCCTCCTGCCTCAGCCTCCCAAGTAGCTGGGACTACAGGCATGTGATGAGGCCCTGATAATTTTTCTATTTTTAGTGGAGATGGGGTCTTACTCAGGCTGGTCTCGAACTCCTGAGCTCAGGCAGCCATCCCACCTTGGCCTCCCAGAGTGCTAGGATTACAGGCATGAGCCACCAAGCCCAGCTGAAAACTTTTTAAATTGGTTACATTAATTTTAGTTTATTTTCATGAGTAAAAATGGCTTCCTGTTTACATTCTGTCACAGGCTATTGATCTTAAAACTAGTTTACTTAAAGAGGTTTTTTTTTTTGCATAACATTTAAATTATATCTGTGAACTTAGAAATTAACTTATAAACTAACCATCTGTCATATATCAGGCTAGATATCTCAATAGTAAACTGAATACAAAGCTAATTTTTTTACATGTCAATATTGGCACAAACTGGAATGAAAAAATAGTTTAATTCAGACCTATTCCACTATCTGTTACTTAAAACACATGCTATGGGCACTCCAGGAAACACTATATTTTTCCCAAAAAATACGTAATCATATATGTTACAGTATAGATAACATTTCACATTTGGATACATATGTGCATTTACTGTATTTCTTGGTAAGCATATTTTGGGGGGAAAGTGCTGCTGATAAGATACAAATAGACAAAATTCAAATGAAATTTTGTCACATTCTATGGAAAATGGTTTCTGGTAAACTGAGAAGGATATTAAAATAAGTGGCTTTTTTTCTGGGCTACCATTGTTGTTTGATTTCTCTCTGTCAAGTGTATAGAACCTGTCATACATTCATGATAAGTAGCACTGAAAAACAACTCATTCAGATTTCCCCTGGGCACTTATGGCAAAATATTGCCAGTTAGGATTTCAAGGTCAGTGATGATACATTCCCTCCTAATACAGAACCCCCCCTTGCTGGACATGGGGAGGCAGAGGGCCACTTGACCATCCAGAATACAAAGCCTTTATGACTGTTTGCCATTTTTTAAAATGATCTTAGAATTTTGATCAAACTTCAGCCTCCAGAATTGAACAAGTTCCCAAGTTTCCTATTTTAATTTACTCTTGACTAGATTTGAGGCAAATAATACTCTAGATCCATGTAACTAAAACACACTTGCTTCCACTACTGAATATACAGGGTATGTAGTCCTACCACGGAGTTAACCGGAATAGCAGTGCACTAGCAAGTATCAATGGATCCTTAACACTGAAGGATTAACATAAATGCTTTGGTAATACCTACTGAGTTAATTGGAGGAAACAGCAAATACCATCAGGTAACCTGCAGATTATATTCAATGGGAAAAATCTTTTTGTACATTTGGACTCTATAGTATCCTCTCTACTCACCAGCTTCTGAAAAGGGAGGAGTATTTTTAGTTTAATTTAAAAATGAGACATTTCAAGGTAGGATAAAATTGAAGCTGTTTGATGCAAACATTATCTAATTTTGCTTACAACCGAAAATCGTAATACTGTTGCTTTCTGTAAATGTTGCAGGGTTTTAAACTTTATGATTATTTTAATATTTTTGATAACTAGGAATCTAGTATTGCCATAAAGGAAACTAAGTGCCCATTAAAGATTTGTTTGGTATAAATAAATAAATTTTTGTTTTCTTTTAAATGACAGTAAGCTACAAATCATGATGCTATCTTAAAAACTTTCTAAAGATGAATTGTGTGGCAGTGATTGTGTGGTCTGTTTGTGGAGAATGTATGAAAGCTATTAATTAATATTCTAGAATAGATTAATAAATTGGCTATGTTGTTCCAATGAATGTACAGCACTTCCATTAACTTTTGAAAGCAACACAGCCTTAAACTCAGTGCTTTTGCTTTATGACATGGGAATGTTCTGTCATCCATGGAGTGTATTCTTGTAATAAAATTCTTTATATCATTCTCAATTCTATAGCTTTTTAATCCTGTGTATGAGTATGAAGGGGTTTTTTTGCTTTCTTTTTTTTTTTCTTTTTAGATTTTGTACATTCCATCTTTATAGGTCTGTTTCCTATGTTTTGTGTATAGAACACTAAGTCTTGCGCTCTCTGACATTGATACTGATATATTCTCATCATTTGTTCTTTTATGAATCAAAATGTTGACTGCCTATTTAAAGAAAAGAATGAACGCTGTGCATCAAAGTGTTTGTATGTTCGTAGCTACATATGTACCACAGTATTTTGGATGCTTTAGTCTACAATAAAACTTTAATTGTCTTGAAACATAGGAGAAACAAGATTCATGTGTATCTCTTTACCATGCACAAAATCACATTATAATAAAGCTTGTTTTCTCCATTTCCAGGGTGAATGTCTGTTTATTTAACATTGTTTTCTAAGTGAAGGGAAATGGAGGAATGTTCTAGAATATGTGGAAGATAGCAATGTCACAACCAAACTGTTTATACTAGTGAGTAAAAGCTTAGTAAAATTTTTGTTGGATATGACACTAATAATTTGTTAGTATTTAGGATGTATCTTAAACAGGAATTTGGAGAATTCTAGCACACATATACAACATGTACATTTAGAAAGTTATAAAAATAGATCAAAATTATTATCCTTATAATCCTTAAAGAATCATAAGATACAGAGACATTTTGGCAGTCATGGAAGACACATTTCTAGGGGGTAGAAGACTAGAGATGGACTTTACTATAAACATTATCTTTAGGGCTCAAATTTAATTACATGGAGTTCATTACAATAAAAATTTCTATTATCAAGCTAATGGCCACACTTTTCAAGCAGTCCTCGAACTACCTAGAGAACACATCTGGATAGTCCTGTGGAGGTCCAGTCTCTGGAAGAGCCTGATGGTAAATGTATATGTCCCATCTTTTCAGAGAAGTCAGTTTCCATGGTCTTTCTTAACTTGAAGGAAACATTTATTTTTATTATTTTTTTTTTGAGACAGTCTTGCTTTGTTGCCCAGGCTAGAGTGAGTGCCGCGGTGTCAGCCTAGCTCACAGCAACCTCAAACTCCTGGGCTCAAGCAATCCTGCCTCAGCCTCCCGAGTAGCTGGGACTACAGGCATGCACCACCATGCCTGGCTAATTCTTTCTATATATATTAGTTGGCCAACTAATTTCTTTCAATTTATAGTAGAGATGGGGTCTCACTCTTGCTCAGGCTGTTTTCGAACTCCTGACCTTGAGCAATCTGCCCGCCTTGGGAGTGCTAGGATTACAGGCGTGAGCCACCGCGCCTGGCCAAAGGCAACATTTCTTAAACATAATCTCTATTCATAAGATCAAAGTTGTCACTTTAAAACCTTATCATCAGGTCAGTATTTTCTCCACAGTCATGAACAGTGTCTAGATTTGGTACTTTTTCTTTTGTTCTCCTATAAGGGAACCCTGTCTCTGTTGATTGTAAACAAGTTATTGTCTTATTTTGCATGTTTACATGTTTGCATATAACTTTTTTTCCAGATATCTATCATCTATCTATAAATGTATACAGGCTTTTAAATTATTAAGTCTCTGATTTGTGTTTTGCTGTGATAGAATGAACACTAAAATTTATCTTTATGCAAGATCAAGCTTTAGGTATCCTTTGTGAACAATGCAGGAACATAATAAAATTTTGTTTTATTTTCTTGAGGGTTAATTCTGAAAGTTAGTTTTGGAAAGAGAGATAAAACAAAAAATTAGAAAAAAGACCAAACATGACACGACTGTCAACTGTGAATATTAATATTGAATGTTACTTCCATTTTTCACTTATTTTTTTTCTTTTACCCAAGCAGTTCATTATGGGCTCTATGGAG